ACTCGCCCCTCACAGACACTCGTTCAGGAAGGTCAATCCTGGATGGAACTCGTGGTGTCCGATGTGCCCTCTATATTACCACTCACATTCAGGTTCATGAGGGAAGACCAAGCCTGGCTGGCAACAGTGGTGTGTGCATGCTGTACCCCTCTGTACACTCATGCTCATGAACACAAAGCCTGGATGGCAGCTGGTACAGAACACAGCCGCTCCCACTTAGATGTGATGTCATGGTCATCAAAGGCCCCACATCCTCTTACCTTCTGTTACTGCTTTTCCCTTGCACAGTCTCTCCTACTCTCTCCTACTCTGCTCACTTCTAAGGAAGCAGGATCATCCACACCAGGCCCTTCAGAGACAAGGCCTAGTTCCCATGGCTACACCTTCCACCGCAGACCTGCAGAACAGATGCCAGCCCACAGCAGTCTGCTCAGAACAGAGAGACAGCTCGCTGAGAATGCCCTGTGAGGCTGGTCACACAGACAGAGGGCTGACTGGAGTAGAGAGTATGAGGCCCAACAGACAGAAAGAAGCATGTGAGGAAGGACTGGAAGACAGCAGGCAGCCAGGCCCAGCAAACCTCACGGCAAATCCCAGCAGAACCGATCCCTGCCAACACAACGGAGCCAAGTCCTGAGATCATTTGAATGGCTTCTGTCCCAAACCTGAGTCACCGGGGATTCCATGGACTTCTACGTTCACACTCTATGCATTTCCAAAAACAAACTGCTTGATGCTGTCATGGAAAACCTGGATCGTTGCATTCTACAGTTTCAGTATGGATTACATCCAGGTCACAACCTATAGAAGACAGCTGGCAAAAGCCAGCCCTGCTGGCCTGCTACCCAGCTTTTGTAATGAGTCCCAGAGGAATGGGAACCTATGTGTGCTGCCGGCTCTGCCAAGTCCCAGACACACTCTCCTATAGCGTACACCAGTCTGAAGTTTCCGCAGCCAGGGGAGTCTGAGCAGCCACCTGCAGTCAGACTCAAGTGTGGAAGTGGCCTCCAGGAAGAGAAAGTGTGAGGATGTGTACGTGCAGGAGAGAGGAAGACTCGATGCTCTCCTCTGCTTCTTAGAACCGAGATAGAAGGAAGACCCAACAGTCCAAGGTCTCAGGACGGCCCTGTACCTGCACCCTACGGCCTCATCCCAGGCAGACAATCAAGGAACCAGAGAGTAGTAGCATGCAGAAAAAAACAGGACATGAAGACAATGTGGCCAATTACAAGGGCTTATAGAAGAGATCTTGTTCCTCGGAACACAAAAATTCTGAGGAACATAACATCCAAAAGCTTAGCAAGAAAGCAACAACATTTTCATGATCACCACAGAGCTACCACCATTTCCAGATGCCAAACACCATGCTTGTCATGCTAACACACTGCCTAGTTTAACCCTCAAACAGCCTTCAGCTAAGCACTGTGATTAGATTCGTTTATAAGTGGGCAGACTTGGAGCTTAGAGAAACGGGCTTAGTTGGCCAGTGGTTTTCAGGCCTTCTGAGGTAAGGCCTAACTTCAGTGATGGCCAGAGGTGACTGCTGAACACCAAGGCTTCTGCGTGAAGGTAGAGATGTCTAGCTTCCTGGCTGCCAATAGGTCAGGCCTTGAAACAAATCCTGCTATTTCAGTTAACTGTACTTGTTGCTTTTAAAGTAACAGGTAAGAAATTTCTACTGAGGTAACAGTATCTTTCACATGTAACTCTAACACTGAAATACCAATATTTTAAATATTGTTTTGTTTTGAGAGCGGGCCTAGGCTGGACTTGAACTTATGTTCCTTCTGCCTCCCTCTCTCAAATGCTCAGATTACAGATATAAACCAGCACATACAGTTCACAGTTTGTATTTCTATATAAGCCTGTGGAATATTTATTTTTTTAAATTAGTTATATCTCAGGAATATGCTTATGTCATCTCATAATTTTATATCCAGTCACTTTTTAAAGTGTCATTTTGCCATGGAGCAAGAAGAAATACTAACTACCCCAGTGTTAGTACTGTACAGCTCTGGCAAGAATTTTCTTGCTTCATGGTAAGCAGACCACAAGGGGGCGTAATAGCAGAAAACTTCAGGGCAGCCATTCATGTTGTGTTGATGGTGAAACAGTCTCCGGCAAAGAGAAGGCCAGCCACTATCTCCACACTGGTGTGGCTACTTTTGTAGCCAAATGTTCCAGGACAAGGCCTGCTGCCTATAGGGGGCCGAGTGCCTGGTGTGGACCCCTATCCTAGGAGAAGGATCTTAGTAGCCTTTCTAGCAGACATGGGAATATGGGAAGAACAACTCCCTGATGTTTATCATCACCTCACTGTGGTGTGCTGTGAGCCCAGTTGTGGACAAAGCAGCCAGCCTTTTCTGTATTTCAGAGTGTCACCTTAAGTCCATAGCCTCTAGAGAGCAGACTGTAGTCAGGAGAGCCGTCTGCCTTCTGTCAATTTTAAACTGTGAGTCATCTCAGAATTTCTGAAATGTGCCCAAGTCACAGGGATGGACAGAAAACTCAAATTTACTCAGATTTCTTTAGGAAGATCAGACTTCTGTAAGTATCCTCTCTACCAGGCTGGCATACACACACACACACACACACACACACACACACACACACGGGCATGGATACACACTGAATTCTGCAAAGGCGTCTGCTTGCCAATTAGGAGAAGCAACAAGAGCATGATAAGATTTGTTGGGCTAACATCTCAGGGATAGAGTTTGCTGGAATGACCCTTGTTAAAAACCAAACAAGAAGCTGAATGTGATAGTCCAGAGTATGTAATGCCAGCACTTAGAAGCTGAGGCAGGAGGATTCCCATATGTTCAAGGGAAAAAACCGGGCAGTGGTGGCGCACGCCTTTAATCCCAGCACTTGGGAGGCAGAGGCAGGCAGATTTCTGAGTTCAAGGCCAGCCTGGTCTACAGAGTGAGTTCCAGGACAGCCCGGGCTATAAGAGAAACCCAGACTCGAAAAACAAAACAAAAAAACAAAACACAAAACAAAAAAAAGAAACATAAGAAAAAGAAACAAAAGAAGTTGCACCAGAACAGTCTTCAAGACCAAAGGATAAAGGATATCTACTTTGTATCCAAAGACTACAAAGGATGTGCTGGAGCCCAGACTGTGCCCCCTACTCCCCCCCCACCGCTGTAAATAGCCACTGTTTTTTGTTTGTTTGCCAGAACGTAAATATTTCTGTGAGCTTTTCAGCTGAAGAAGAGCTCCTAGAAGGACACACCAGGAGTCTCTTGCAGGTCAGTTTAAAAACCCCACAAACCATGGAAGGTCAATTGGACCTGTCGGAAAGTTAAAACCCTAAAGGCTAACCAGAGGCCTTCAAGAGGATTACTGAATTCTGGGTGCAGGCTACGTGTTTGTTTAGTTTGACTTTTTAAACCACTTTGGTAACACTTCACAAACGTTTTAAGATAAGACACCCGAGGCAGTACGTCAGAGGAGAAGAAAGCTGACAAGAAGAAAAAAAAAGGATCCAACCCTTCTGCCTTTAAGGATTCTGGGAGGTGAAACACCGAGAATATCAAGGATATAGGTTCAGATTTCACAAGTGAATCTAAAGGACCAAAAGCCACACAGAATTAGAAGCCTAAGCTGAAAACACGCACAGAAGTGACATCACATTCCAGCCTACCCACTTTGCATAGAGAGGTGGGATGGCACTCTGTCCCAAAGTGAACCTGCTAGTTAGCAGCAAAGCTAAAAAGATGGAAGCCTGGTCTAGCAGATTCTGTGAATGCCTACATCTCCTTGGCCACTCTGGGCAGACACTCTCAGATAAGTGAGTGCCCAAAGACTGTCATAAGGAGAGTAACCCCGGGGAGGCAGCTCAGGCTGCAGGGCAGGGTGTGTCATCTCTCTCAACCCATTACCCCATCCTCCGTCATTGAATACAGTGCCCCCTAAGGTTTGAGGAACAGAAAAAAAACAAAAGTTATCTTATCAGCTGTTTGAAAAAAGCCCTGTCATTTGATCTGTTTATTTGGAAGCAGCCCCGGCTGAGCTCACGACTTCGCTGTGAGGCTGAGTAAATCAGCTCACAGTAAAGCCCTTTGGCTCCCCGCCTCCCTGGATCCGGGCTCAGCTGCTCTCCTGCTAATGCAGTGATGTGAGGGAACCACCTGGGTTCTTCAACAGGGCTGTGGTAGATTCCTGCTCTTCCCACTGCAGCTGAAACTGACAGTACCCCGTTTAAAATAGGCATGCTCCCCCTGTTCATTCTACCTCTGAGGATGTGTTCTAACTCAACTGCACAGAGGCACTCCCTTCAGCCTGGGCTAACCGATGTTGTCTTGGACCAGAGTCTACCTTTCAAATCCTCTGGTGGAACCTAGGTAGTGCCAGGGTCCAAAGACCTTTTCTTGAAGCCTTCTCTCCGGGATCACTATCAAGAACCCAAGACTTTCCAATCGATTTCCAACAAGCTCGTTAGTGAGAAGTACCCAAAGTAGTTAGCTTGCATCTTCCGATCTGACTGCACAGAACATTCTGTCAGGCTCCAGGAGACAACGTTAAGTGGAGCATTATTAAACACAGAGCAGCTGATGCTAATCCCTTCCCGGGAGGCTGGAGTCCTCCCCGCCCAAAGCTGAACTCACCAGGGTAGGAGGGCAACCTCTCTGCCTCTAACTAAACACCGGCTCCAAGGCAAAGTCTCTCCGTGTTAGCAGAGTTCTTACTGCAGTTAGGACCAGCTCCGACCAAACCTTGCAGATATGCCCTCACCACACGCGCACCGGGCGCGTGCTCTTGAAAGCACAGTTTTAATTTAATGAGAAAAGCAAAAAGTAGAACAGTTACTCAACTCAGACTCAGAGAAAACAAGCAAGGAGGAGTGGCTTGCGATGCCAGATCGCCAGCCTGGGTCTTACTGTCGAGACAGTGCAGCCAGAGGAAAGTGATCTTGGCCAGCCCTCTCCAACAGATGCAAGCAATAAATGCCAGGAGTCCCGAGCTCAGGCTCCTCCGCTTACCCCAGCACTCACCTGCGATTCCCTGCAGGAGCCCGCAGACGTTGAAAATGCTTTTTCTCATGATGCTTTGCACGCACATGGTGAAGACGGACACCAAGGCCACTACACAGAGAATGAAGATCCCCATGGCCAGGAAAATAGCGGTGGCCTTCCAGAAGCCGCTGGCTATCTCCCCGAAGCTCTTGGCGTAGGTCCCGCACAATGTGTCCCGAGGGACTTGCTGCATGGCAGGGGTGCGGATGCAGAGGATGCCCAGGTAGTGGGACTCGGAGTCCGAGCCTGCCTGGTCGTCGCCGCTGCGGGTCTTGGCTTTCCCGATCAGCCAGTCCGCGCTCATGAAGGCGACGAGCTCAGCAAAGGCCACGACGATACTCAGGAGGGTCCAGAGCATCGAGCGGCAGGTGACAATGACATGACACATATTGATGTTCACGGTGGGAAAGCGAGGCTGGAGTCCACCGGGTCAATCCAGAAAGACTGCTGTGAGTTGCGAGGAGGTCCGGGAAGGAAGTCTCGGCGAGGGTCGCTCAGTCCGGTCCCAGGCAGCAGAAGCAGTGAGGTCTGGATCCCGAGCTGACGGCATTCATACAGAGTGCTGAGTCCCAGCGGCCAGTAGCTTCACCTATGTCCAGAGAGGAGGAGGGTGAGAGGCGGGCCAGGCCCCGCCCCGCCCCGCGCCACCCCCACCCGGGACGCCCGCCACCATCCCGCCCACCTTCCCCCGCCCAGCCCCCCCCCCCGGGGGCCCGGGGCGCTTTCTGGTTGCCATTGTTCCCCTTTTTTTTTTTTTTTTTTTTTTTTGCCCCAACACTGAGTGGCGGGCGGTGGGGAACTTTATCAGGCTCCCACCGGCCCTCGGCTGGGACACTTGCTACCTAGGACGCTGCCCCAGCAGCCAACCGTTACGGAGAGATGCAGACGCGGCAGGCAGGGAACTTTGACTGCCCCTTGGAGAGTTTGTGAGGCAGTGGCCATGCTGTGCTCGCACAGACGCCAAGTTCTCCCAAACACCGCCAGTTTTAGCTATTTAATAGGAGAGAGTAAAAAACCTTCAACTGCCTGGAAATCAAATTACCGGCCAAGTATTTGGTTCCTAGCTGAGTAAAGATGCAAGGGGAAAGGATCCCGGGGAGAAAGGGTAAACAAGACATTGCTGCCCAAACTTATTTCCCATGCGTTCCTCACATTATTTTAGAGAAGTTAATTTATGTGAGTTAAAACTTTTCAAAAGGCCGTAACGAGGTCATGACTTGAGAAAATTATTCAAAATGGTACACTGAGGGCCATTAACTAGGTGTCATTACAGCTGGGTCCACTTGTTGACAACAGAAAGTTGTCCTTGAATGCATCTCTTGAATTGTCCCGATTCATCTCATGTCCCTTGGCCCGAGCCTTCATTCACCCCAGGTCTGGGACTCAACATCCCCATTGTTCCTGAGTTCACAGAGAGCTCATTCTGCTTCTGAGGACACATGACTTCATTACCAGAGGACTCTGCCCCAGTGGCTCAACCCTCCTTCAGAGCCTGAACCCTTCCTCCATCAGAGTTGGCACTGCTGGTCTGCAGCCCCAGCTCACCATCCCTCTCCAAGGTCAGGCCGGATCATGCAGCTTGTATCTGACATCTGGGCATATGGCCCTGCTCTGAATGATTCCATCTCATTAACCGAGGTCATGCCAACGCCATGGGGACTACAAAGAGCCCCTTGAATGCTGGGCTTGGGTGAGGCAGGCAACTGTGGAAGAGGGAGGCAAATGTGGCAATAGCAAAGTCCAGTGTCAAAGCTCAAAATGGCGGTCAGTGTACCACACACCAGCACTCTGCCGGCTGGCTGACACTGCAGTGAGCGGTGACAGTACTCATCACATGAAATATGTATTTAAATTGCATCACAATAGTCACATGGGATGTGATTAAGACGAAGTCTGTACAATACTAACAACGACACTGTGTTTAGTAAGCTGCCAGGCTGTGTCACACTTGGTTAAGGGAGGAGGTCATGTGTTCCATTAAAAACACTTGGATTCCCTCAGATCTGGGTTCTAGAGCCAGGTCCACCACTGCCTGGCACTGTGGGTAAGTAACTTCTCAGTGTGTCTTCAGCTACAACCTACACAGCGACTGCTAGGCTGCCCCTCCCTCATGAGACAACTGTAAGAGATAAACACAAGCCTGATAAAGTACCCTGTACGGCACTGGTTTCAGCAGGGATAGTCACTTGTGTCTAACTAAGCCTGTCTGGTGAGCTTTTCAAGAAGCACGTGGACCTCATTTTGTATTTCTGCATTGCCTACACCAGACTTCCAAATCCAACTGGAGAGAAAAGATTAGCACTAAGCACAAACACAGGTGTCACTCCCAAGGACTTCTTAACCAAAGGCTGTGGAAACAGAAAAGCCTTCTGAGAAACAAACGGTTCACAGGGATTGGCTATAATGACACCGACTGTTTATAATCCGGGCTGGAGGAGACCTGCAAAGGAGCCAGGAGGGCTCCCTGGAGGCAGCAGTTGCCCAGTCTGTTATAAGTGGAGAGACCTCTGGAGAGCCCCTCCCCCCAGCTGTTTAAAAAACCAACTTGCTGTTACTTCCAGCCTGTCCCCATCCTTGTCCCTCTTCTATTTAAAGTGGCTTTTCAGACTATACGTATGTGTCCCCTTGCTGAACTGCAGGTCTCTGTCATGTTCTCTCTCGGTGGCAATTCGGAGTGTCAGCTGTGCTCTCGGTGAGGAGTGTGAAGAGAAAGAAAGGCTGCGAGGAACTTCAGGCCTTGGGGTTGGTAAATGGTCCATGCCAAAGTCAAGGCAATTACAATCTTATGAAATAAGGCATTTTCCCTGCCTGTAACCAAAGAACACTTCCCTCCCCAAAAACAAAGTCCCATGTTTGTAACAGAATGGCTGAGATGAAAACGCTGCCGTTATTTTGAACCGGGAGATAAGGCCCATGGGTCCCCAGCACGTTTCCTAACTGCTACATCAGAGGATGTCATGATAGTCTAGGCTGACTAACTAACAAGGCAGTTTCCCCAGATGGGTAAGTCATGCTAGCTGGACAAGGGAAAGCCTGGGAACGCAGCAGGGGACTTGACTAGGCTGTGTTCTGAGAAGAGGCTCCATTTGGCTAAAGGCACTGACAGGCAGGCACCTGCTGAGACAACCTCACAGTGTCAAAGGGGAAATAGATCTTCATTATAGATCTCTGTGAACCACAGGGCCAGGCTTGGTACTCCTCAGCAGGGGCCTCTCCTTGGTTAACTGCCATTTCAGCCCCCACACTCCCTCATAAACCACCTGGGAAAAAAGCCAACAAATTCATTTCCAGTCAGGAGACCTGACCTTACTGTCACAGGCACAGTGATTGTGTGTCACCTGGAGAGCCTGTTACAGAAAATGTTACAAAATTGTCATGAAAAGCCCATTAAAAAACCTTCTGGGAGAGGAAGGGAGACTAAGTGGAGAATGACACAAGATTATCTTCCCGTTATCCAAACAGAGAGCAAGGAGGTGGTCATGGTGGTATACAGTCTTCACGACCCCTAACTGTCCAAGAGAGAAGTTCGGAGCTAGGTGTGTGCCGTAGAACATAAGGCCTCTGTCTTTTCCAAGTTCCTATTGTCAGAAGGGAACAAAGTGCACACAAAACCGGAATCAGGCCGTGCCCGTTGGCCAGATTTCTTAGATTACTGGAACATATACCAAGGAACAAAGTTCATCTCCACTGCGAAGGTGCAGGAAAGCTGGAGCTGTCAATCAATGCTGCATCCCATCTTACCCTCCCAGCTTGGCAAAGAAGCAACAGGGGAAGGGGGCGAGGTCAGAGTCCTTACTCAGCTTACACCTTATTATTGTATTATAATCACATTGAACACAGACGTAAAGAGTCAAGAATAAGCAAGGAACAGCTACGTACCCAACACCAGAGTCAACAGTTTCTGCTAACATTCCCCCTTATTGTTTTCTATTCTAAAGCATACATACACGTTTTTTGAGCCATCTGCAAATGGTGTGTCTAATAGTTCATCCCTAAATGCTTTAGCACAGACCTCCTAAAATAAGGGCATTTCCTCGCACAGCTACAAGACAATCAATTCACTCAAGAAAACTGCCTACTCGTATCCAACGCCTCGTCCACCCTTTGCCAAGCCTGCTCCATTTTTAGTTTGATTCCTCCATCTTAAAGCTGTGACTCAATTGAGGCTCATGAATTGCATTTGGTTATTTCTAGATAACAGCTGTCTTTCATCCCTAACTACCCACCCACTCCACGTCCCCTGAAGATGCTAGGACAGTTATCTTGCTGAGGACCCAATAACCTGAGGTTTTTGACTCTTTCTCCTTGTTCCTTAAGCTTGTTTTCCACAGTCTGTGTCACAGAGATGGATGTTCACTCCAAGGAGTCCAGTGTGAGCATTTCCCGTGAGCATCTTTCGGAGGTGATGTGTTTAATCCCTGCCGCTTACTTATCTGGGAGGAAAGGACTCAGACCTCAGGACCAGAACAACTTTCTGCATATCCATTTCACAAAAACTCAGACATACACAGACATACTGTGCCCAGGGTTCTCTCTAGCTGACAGAGAACTCAAATCTGTAAAAACAGATGGGAGACAGGCTAAGGGGTTGAGGATGCCCTTGGCAGATCCTGCTGCTGAAGTTGGGAAGCTCCAGTCTAAGAGATGCCACTTTGAAACCGGGAGGGATGCTTCTTCTCAGCACTGAGTTCTGCCTCTCCTTGTGACACAACCATGTTTTGTTTATAACCTATAAAAATTTAGAAAGACCAGCAGACCTAAGAAGGGAGATAAACTCCAAATGGGGAATTTACTTGAATCGAGAAGATACACGTTACATAGAGAAAGACGTTCCTGGAACCAGGAAGGTCATAATTTAACAGCAGCCTGGAGATCCCAGGCCATCCAGAGACGCTACTGGAAGAGGACAAACTTGGTGTCATCTGACATTGCTGTCTGCCCACCATGCCCCTTAACTAACACTATCATACTGGGCGAAGGGCATGCATACCACATGATGGGGTGATGCAGTGCTTTTCAAAGCTTCATACACAAATCTTGGACCAGCTCAGGTCTGTCAATCAAAAGCTGTGGTCTCAGAGAGGCTGCTTGCATTTAGCCTCTGCATGTCTGGCTTCCTCATCCCCCAGAAGAGAACAGTGCCCTGCTTCCCACGGCTGCAGTGAGGAGTAAGATGTGGGCATCCGAATGATGCCGAGCACATCATCCAATCCACAGAGCCAGGATTACTCACTGCTACCACAGGATTAACGTAACATGTGGGGAATGGGGAGTACTCACAAATATCAGCTTGGGTGGGAAGTGGGGGGGGGAAAGCAGGGATCCTTTTGTTTTAACATCCTACTGAGACTACAGGGACCCCCAGGCTCCTGTTTTGTGATACAACCTGAAGATGAGGAAAAGAAAAAACTCTAGAAAGTGCAAAAGGAAGGCAAGGATCAACCAATCAGTGGGGCAAAAGGAAGTGGCCCCAGGTCAGACCTCAGGTAAAATGGATGACCCGGTCTTAGCTGAGGAACCTGCTTAGTACAGATTCTGTAAGGATGCTCCTGATTCCAGCTTTGGCCTCTGAGGGACTGAAGATGGATG